TTTTCCCCCCCCCCCCCCTTTTTTTTTTTTAGTATACTGCAATCTCAATTATTTCGATAAATAAACGTTGTCTGAAGGAGTTGTGTTTTCCTAGCGACTGCTTAAGTATTTACGGGGACGTTTGCTCGGCGGTTTTTCTTTTTCGGTTACACAGATACCTTGTAGGTGGCTAAATCTTGTCACTAGACCTCTCTGCTGTAGAGAAAGTTTTATCTTCTTCGTATAGCAAACGACATTTTTGGCCGTGTATTTACTTAGTGTCTTTTGAGATGCTGAAAGTCTGTCTGTGTGGTGGACCCCATGAGAAAGTTCCCTAAAATACCTGAAAAAAAACCCAAAACAACTAAAAGAAATGGGTGGAACCATTATTAGGCAACAGAATACAGAACTGCATAATGTTTTCTTTGCTAACGCAAAAGAGTAACTCGCTATAGCTGCTTATTCTACTGCAGGCTTCGTACTTCTTATTTTTAAGGTGTGCTTTCGGAAAACTGCATCTCCCTTTTATGAGAAGCAGAAGAGGAGTATGGTGATGATAACCCCTCAGAAAGGCAAGCTGGAAATAAAAATTTTCCTTGTACAAGAAAAATCCTTTCTGAAAAGTCTATCATCGAATACTGAAATTCGTGCTCAAACATCTTATTTACACTTCCAGCAATTTTGATGGCTCACTCGTCTAGCACAGTGATAAAAGATGGTATCCATTATTTTTCGGTGATGCTTACAACTGGTTTTCTTGGGGGAAGCGCCGGGGGCTGCTCCTCCTGGGGCGTGGGGAAGCGCCAAGGGCGAGGTTGGTGGTTCGGCAGCATGCGGGGCGGTTCTGGCTGAACGCTTGTCTGGTGAAATGCTGTGGAGTGTCCCATGTGAGGCATGGGCAAGGAAACACGGCTACAAGGGAAGCTCTTCTGGTTGCATTGTAGCTGTTACTGTAAAAACAAGAGACTAGTTAACCTTAGCTAGCTTTCTTTCGTAATCACTAATGAAGCAAAACACACGATCCTCAGTGACTGTTTTTAGGGAAAGCCATAAAGGTATTTTAAAACTGAAAAAAAAAACTCAAATCACAACAAAAGTATATGGACTATACCCTTTAGAGAATTCTGGTGGGTTTGGGGTGTTTTGTTTGTAGGTAGGTGGACTGATACAGTAAATGGTTAAATAGCTATGTTATAATGTAACATTAAAAAAGATCAAATCGGTTCTGTAAGAAAAATGCTGACTTTTAAACTGTATCTTAAATACGAAATTTTGAAAAAAGGGAGCAAATGGTCGAACTAAAGTCTGAATTGCAATGCAAGTGGTTTATGTATTTTGCAGCTCAGTTGTAAACAGCAGTAAGCATTCTTCTGCTGGCTGAAGTGTTCTGCTGTATCACATCTTAAAAAAAGAAAACCAACAAAAAACTCAGAAATTGTATTTGGCATACAGATGTCTCATTGAGTCCAAAAATCTGTGGTTAAAGATTACCCAAATATGTAGAAAGTAATCTTTATTTGTCTGACTGGATAAATACGGCTTTCTTTGGTTTCCATCTCTTTGGTTTCCATCTCTATGGCTTCCCCTTTTAGCAGCTGCCCTGCTCATTATTTGGTTTTGATCGTATCTAATTGTGGGTGACATTCAAGACTGAGGTTTAGTGTTTTTCATCCTTACTCTTCTTGTAAAAATGTTGGTTAATCTGTCCATCAGTTTTACCACAGTGTTATAAATGTTTTCGATGTACAACTTTAAAATAAAAGGGTAAACAACAGAAAAAATATATTTGAATTCTTTTTTTTTAGGTCCTGAAATGAATATAATGGTTTACAGTGCAGACAGGCTACCTGAAATGTAACCATTTCCATGAGAGACTTAGCAGTGAACCTGAACACAAAGGATGAAGGACTTTGCTTTAGTTCTTCACCTCCCCTCCCAGGAGAAGAGAGAGAGAACAGTTTAGTAAATAAACCAATACAGATTTCTGAACACTTTTTCACATTTGAAATTTGGAAATTAAAAGAATGTCATTCCAGTAGATTTTGGACCCTAAACCAGCAATAATATATACGTGCACCGTATAAAACATGGATCAAATACTGTTGAAGCTAGAAACTAAAATGTTGCTTTAAATCATCTTGTGACTGTCAACTTTGTTGAAATTTGATATTAAAGTAAAAGGTAAAAATGGATTAATTTTACAGAAGTACGCATAAGTAAGGCTGGTCATGTAACTAAATCCATGTTGTTACTCTTTTCCCTCACCTTGCAGATGAAGAGAAAGTTGGACCATGGCTCCGAGGTCCGTTCTTTCTCTCTGGGAAAGAAACCCTGCAAAGTCTCAGAATACACAAGGTAATTAAATGCAATAACAGATCACTGGATCTTGACTCTTGCGTATATCCCATCTTTCCAATTGCTAAACCTGATTCATGGGTCCTCTTAATGTTAAAGCACTGTAAAGCAAAGAAGGGATGGTATCAGCATTTGTATATTGCTTAGCTAATTTAAATTACGTGAACTGAAGATGAGTTCTAATGAGTAGCCAGACTTGCATTTCTTCGGTTGAGGTTTGTGTTTCATTCTAAATATAGCATGCCCATTTACTTAAGAGACTTTTTGAGGGCTAGAGCATTCCTGGGAATAAAATCAATCAGATTTTTAAAAAGGGACATAATGATGAACCCTAAGACTATTACAAACTGTGATCAAATGTATCGCTTTGCTATGGTAACAGGAATGAGAGAATGGAAATTTATGTAGGCAGAGCAGACCATCTGATCTTAACAGGAACACACACGTGCTTGTTATCCACAATATGAAAGTATTACAGGTTCTGTCTGCTTCCCTACTACTCCTAAGTGGTACCAGATCGCACATATAACTGCTGCTGTTCTGGTCAGGTGCTTTGTGGAGTAAAACACTCGTAAACATCAGAAGCAGTGGTAGAGTAGGGCCCTGGATGCGCACCTTACGATTGCAGTTCTTCCTGAATAGTTGCCATAACAATTGTGCTCGGATGTCACACTGCTTCCCATCCTGTTTGAATTTACACCATTTTACGTTTTTTTCCCTGTAATAAGCATCAGCCCTCCTACAAGCATTGTGCTTGCCTCCTAAAACTAACTGGGGATGTTAATTCTTGTGAACATGCTATGGTAGTGTTCAGTCACTGATGGATCTTTCAAAAGTAATTTATATTTTATTTCTCTTCCTTTAAGAGGTTTATCAGGTGATGAGTGAAAAGTTAGGACAGGGTGGGGAAACAGGTTCCAGGTTTGCTTTTCAGATGTGGGAACGCTGCAGTAGAGAAAGAGGTGATCTCTAGTTTCTGAGAAGCCCATGCTGCAGCTTCCACATCCCCCTCAAGTCTCAAGTTGGTAGCTTCTCCAGGTTTCTAAATCAGGCTAATGGAAGAACACTCTTGTTGGCCACCAGTTCTTCAGGTGACGCACCGTTCTCTGCACTCCCGTAAGAGTAAACAGTTCAGCAACAAAGAAAGTACGCTTTCTGTCAAGTATATGTCAGATTCAGAGGAAACCGCTGGACTTCTCCAGCTTCCACAGAAACCTGACTGGCTGTCTCAGGGGAATGAAAACATACAGGAAAAATACAGCATGAACAAAAATCTTGTGGTTTAATCTCAGGTCAAAGGAAAGAGGCTTTTAGATCCTGTTTTGAATAACTGTTTTTGACTGAGAACCAGTTTACAGCAGAAGAAAAGTGTAACTGTTCTACTGGGGCAAGCTCAAGGCTATATATTGCCCAGATCCAATGTAAGCCAATTTTAAGAGCCTTATTTTGGACCTTAAATGTTAGGCCTTCTGGTGGATCTCCGTACAGGTGATGAGAATGAGTAAGCTGTAAAAACAGATTTTATTTTAAAAATACTTTCAATTGACATTGCTTGGATTTTGAGTCATTATTGGTGTAAAAGAATCCTTAAATAACATCTGATCATCTCTCTTTTAAACTGATTATATTTTATTTAAATAGTATTTAGGCAAATGATGCAGTTCTTTTGCCTCCTTGTTTTCCATTTTCCCTAGGATCAAACACTCTTTAAAATTGACAGGCCTGATGAACTTTCTTTGCATATAACAGGTAAAGCCAGTAAACAAATGTCATTAAGAGGATCCTTCATCTATGAAACAGTGTTTTTATATCAGCTTCTGTTTCTGTTGTTATTCGGTAAAATTAACAGTTAAAAATAAGCCTGTTCAAACCAATCTTTACTTTCTTTACCAGTTTGGGTAAATGTTAGGACATGCTACGATTGTCCTTCAGGACAAGGAAGAGTAGAGTGAAATATTTGTAGCGTATGATGAGATAAATATTAAAATGAACTTGCCTTGCATCATTTGAAGCTATTCCTGTAGCTGCTGAAAGTCAGTAAAACCCCGAAGCTCATACCTACTAAAAAGCTGGATTTATCATACACAAAAGCAAAGGATTTCTTGGAGTCCCACGCTGTATTTAAAATTTTCATGCTTGTGCAAACACTACTGGAGTTCCAAATTTCCTGCTAGGGAATACAACTTTGATATTCTGTGAACGAAGTACTTTATATTATGTTAAAAAAAAAACAACAAAAAAAACCAGTCAGCTGTATTTCTTTAGACTCCTACAATAGCAGCTTAATCCCAGCTCTTTTAAAAGCTCCATCCCATATGAATGAGCTGGTTTTTAACATGGCAGAGTGAAAAAATCAAAGTGTAATTCAGAGAGCACCTTTGGCTCCTTTTCCCTCTTCACGTCACACCCCCCACCTTTAATTCCTGTGTCACTCCATCAACATGCAAACTTGAGAAGACTGTATAGAGTATTTCAAAGCCCAGTTCTAAACCACTAAACCACTAGAACTGCTTGATACTACTAGCTCTTTGTCAACAAAATATATTAAAAGTTAAAAATAGATACATTTTTTTCCTGTTTGGTGATGAAGCAGCACTAGCACATTTAGCATACAGGTGAGACTCTGAGCTCTGGCTTCCTACATCTCTAGTCAGAAGGCACAAATACAGCCCAGAAGGAAGGGAAACACTCTGGCAGGGAAAGGAATATATGAACCTGCATCTTTATAGACAACCTGCTGGCCAATTAACGGAGTGGTAATATTTCACCCTGGAAAGGTGATCCCCATTTTCCCCCTAGCTGGAGGATTAATACTGCGGTGGTAGAAACAGGTGGATTTATTAAAGTGAGGGAACTGATCTCTTTGAGTGACCAGCAGAACAATTTTTCATGTTACTGTTCTTGCATGAAGTTAAAGAGTTTAAGTAATAGTTGCAAATTCTATACTAGATTTTTTTTTGCTCTGCAATAGACTTCTAAATTTTCCGTAATGTTTTACATGTGACTATCGCTTTTTACTTGTATCATAGTACTACGGGGCTGGTGCCATGCTCTGCCACACCTACTACTTTTGGGGACCTGAGGGCAGCCAATGGCCAGGGGCAGCAACGTCGCCGCATTACATCTGTGCAGCCACCAACGGGCCTTCAGGAATGGCTGAAAATGTTTCAGGTAACCAGTGCTTAGAGAAATAAACATCTGAAGCAGCTTACCTCCATGATTTAAGTAGAAGGTTGCTTCAATAGAGGCAGTCCTTATACATCCCAGAATATCTCTGTCATTGATTTTGTGTACTGTTGCAAACACAAATAGGCATCAACTTTAAGGAATTGTTTTTCCTTGGTTCTGCTAGTTACTGTAGAGTTTTACAAAAAATAACTGCTTTCTCTGGTTTCTTAATAAAATAACCCTTCCTGTTTGATGTTTTCACATTTTCTGCAAAGTCTGTCCAACATGTAACGGCTGCCTCCATGGCCTCAAGCTAACTTGAGATGTTTTCGCTTGGAGACTAGTAAGCTTTAGTGCATGGTTTGCTTCAATGCAGGTATAGCACTAAATTTGTCGGAAGTCTGGAGTCTTCTAAGAATAGAAAGAAAAGTTTAGCAAAAATAGATTAAAAGGAAACTCAATGTGTATTTTTACTGATCTTCGTATACTGAACACTACCAGTACCTGTAGCCAGTACCTGTGTATACAATTGAACGGAGGGGGGAAAGAGGTTTTGTCTTTCTAGCAGCCTTCAGCAATGCCTAAAACTTGTATCTGACAAAAGAAAAGGTGTGAAGGACAGTGCTGTGGACCACTTGCACACGTCGAAACTGAAATCTACGTGGACACCAATCTGGTAGCACCTAAGCCAATTTTGTGTGCGTTAATACAAACACAGTTCAGGGCAGGCCTCTGCTCCTGTTCCATAACCTGTACCGTGGAGATCTCTTTACAATTTTGCTCTATATTTTTAAGAAGCAGGAATGAGTCCTAGTCATTGATTTGAAAAATGGAAATATTATGTCTTCCTATCTTGATTAATAAACTGTTACTTCTAAAAACATTTTCAAAAGGAGTAACTAACTAATACAGTCATTGTTTCAATTACTGTAACAGGCAAAGAGAGAAGAGCAATATTGTAGATACAGTAGTGAGCGTACAATTTTGCAGGCAGAAGCGTGCTTTTGGCTTGATTCATGCTGCCACATAATACCATTGATCTCAATCACTGTCAGTTCTGAACATTAAAATAATAATGTAGAACTCCTTCTCTCTTTATTTTTACACATTTATAATCTGCTTAAAACAATGGAAGTTTGGAATTAAGATATTCTTGTACACATCATTCAGTTTCTTAAAACTATTCACATTTAATTATTATGGTGTATCTTTTTTGAGACTGTTCATAGAAATATGTCTTTTTAACCCCTAAGAATCATATCTGAATGGCACTTCGTATATATGATAATGGAATACTGCATTGTATTTTAACATTTTGTAATGTTAAAGCCTTTGTACTAACAAAAGCTATTTTGTTATCTACAATGTACAATGTGTATTTGCTCACATAAGATTGCTAGTTATCAATAGTTACATATTTAGAAAAAAAGATTATGAAAGGCTGAAATGTTTGAGAGTAGTGCAAACAAGCTTGACAGTGAAACCAATGCTATTGGCTGTTTGGTCAGGATAAGGAAAAGAAGTCTGTAAGCCCATGGAAATTTTGCCTGTAGTTAAGTTGTTATTATTTTAGGGTCCCAAATTTGGGGTTAGTAATGTAGAAACCATGCTTTAATACATATATAAGTTGATACTCCAGAATACTTAGTTGCAGTACTAAATGCCTAAATGCTGATCTATACTCTTGAGAGAGAGAGGCAGGCCTCTCTCTCATAACTGGAGGTCATCGAGTAGCAGTTATTGATCACTTCTGTCACTGGTAGTTTTTATTGCATTCACAAACTGGAGTCCCTTATTTTAGAACCAAAAGCTTTCAAAGTCACGTAGCTGTATCTCAATGTTACATCTCCTTGGCTAATGCTGAGCCACCTCATTTTCTGTGTGCTTATTTTCCATGTGAGTTTTATGAATGGGGCAAGTCTTAGTCAAATGATAAAAGCATATTCTTAAAGTAAGGGGAGCTAGCTCTGCCCAAAGGGCAGAATTAAATGCCATATGTAGCATCATTCTTGCAATACAGAGTTTCTCCTGTACAGAAATGGAAATGGGAGAGCTTTCTTCCTTATGTACTGTATGCCTGCTAAGCCTGCTTAATAACACTATCTTATTTTATGTGAAAATATATTTCCAATTAATTTTAAAGCTAAATTTCTAGGGGCACGTTAGCTGGACATATGTACTGTTTCAAGGTAGAACTGTCCTTTGGCATAGAAGCTGGCAGTAACAAGTGATACTTAGTTATTTTGAGGTCTCTCACTCCTATGTTATCTTTTCAAATTGAAAAGCAAGACCACTCTTCAAATACTAAGAAAACTCAAGATAGCCTTTAAGGGTTTTTTTAAATTTATTTTTTATATGTTATTGCTGCTCTTATGATTTATAGTTGAGCTAAGCCTTTTATTTTGGAAGTGACAAAAAAACTAATGCAGAAAGGAGAAACAGTTGGAAGAGTAGTTGCACTTTCCCTTTAAAAATGAAGATATATATTGATTTCAATGAAATGTTAAGTCTGGAAAGAAAAAATAGAAAAGCATTTTAATAGGTTCAAACAATTTTATTTCTTAAAGGCCTATTTATTTTTTCTGTTTTGCAGTGGCTCTTGGCTTCAGGTCTTTTTAATATCCACTATAAGATCTTTAAAACTCAATGCCCAAGTGTATCTTTACAAGATTTTTTCTTCTACAAGAAATTTTATTTTATTTGAAGCAGTATATATTTTTTAAGTCACCAAATTGCTTGCCATAAGGAAAAAAAAAATCAGCTGCATGCTAAGTTCAGTCAGAGATGGTACTGCTTTAAAAATTATTAAGTTCTCTCTCTTCCCCCCCCCCCCCCCCCCCCCCCCCTCCCCACACTTCTACGTTTTGGTTTTTTTTTT